CTAGCAAATCCTCCTTCTCCTAATCGGCAAAACAAATCGTTTCGTAATGTAAGCCTGAACACGACGAATTATCGAAATATCTGTATAAATTGGAATCCATCTTTCGTCTGTTCGTTTGTTCGTTTTTTTTTTCATTTTTGCGCAACGACCATTTTACGAACCGCACCTTTCTTTCTTCTTTTAAATAACGTCATTTCCATATTTTGCTTAGTAGAAATTATAAAGATTCTCAATACGTTCGGACATTGTTGTCGGCATTCGACGAAAGTGGGAAAAAAGACTTCTTTCGCGAGCGCGTATTCGTAGTACGCTATTGCCGTGAAGAATCGAAAATAGAAACTACTGTACGGGTGGGTGTGCGTATCCGTAAATAGGCTATCACACGTCGATGGAATCTACCGAGAAATTCAGGGAACCAAGATCGATATCGTTATTGTTTTCTCACACGTTTCTTTTAAACTTCCTCTACTTATAGGATATATATATATATATATCTTTTCATATATATATATATATATCTTTTCACGGATCGAGAAGATCTTTCTTTATTTCTTATTTGCATTAGATAGGAAAGAGATTCGCTGCTATCGTAGTTGAGAAGTTAACATAAAAAATTCAGCGTGCGCGATTTCCTATACGTGCCAGCGCCGCCAAGGTGAATTTATAATGTGCTGGCCACTTTGACATAATTTCTTCTCTTCTCTTCTCTTCTCTTCTCTTTTCTTCTCTTCTCTTCTCTTCTCTTCTCTCCTCTTTTCTTCTCTTCTATAAAGTTCCGAGGCATTCGTGTGGTGGTGATGTGTGTGCTCTTTCGTCCTTGACAAATAAGTAGCCACGCTCTGCGAGAGCAGAGAAAGAGAGAGAGAGAGAGAGAGAGAGAGAGAGAGAGAAGTGCGCAATCAAAAGGTGACGATATATTCCCGATGATATTTGCCAATTTGGTAAATAGTACCGTACGAAAAACCTTGCCTTCTTGCTTATTATATTGACATTGCCGTTCGACAAACCGATGTACTCCTTTGGTTGTACAAATTTTAAATTTATAACCACGATAGAGTTCTCTTTATCAACTATCCTAAATCCCAAGGTTCTTTAAGTTTCCTTAATCCTATTTATTCGATCTGCTTTTTTTAATACTTTTTTTGCTTCTTTTTTTATTAACAGAAATGAAAAAGCTTGTAGAAAAATCAAACAACAGAGAAGAAAAGGAGAGAGAGAGAGAGAGAGAGAGAGAGAGAGAGAGAGAGAGAGAGAGAGAGAGAGAGAGAGAGAGAGAAAGAGAGAGTAACTATAATCTTATTATTGATTACGAATCGACCTCGTTCTTGGATAAGGGCAAAAGCGTGTACAGTTTTCCTTGGCTCGACCCAACCAATTCCAATATATAATATTGATGTGCGTGAGTGTGTGTGTGTGCATAAAAGAGAGATAGAGAGAGAGAGAGAAAGAAAGAGAGAGAGAGAGAGAGAGAGAGGGAAAGGAGAGAAAGATACATATAGAGGTATATCTCTAGATGATTGCCCTCTCTCCCTCTCCATTCGTAATACGTCCCTGGGAGAAGCACGGTATGCGCGATCGAGTGTACGCTTATTTTAACAAACCTATTTCTGATATTGTGCCACCGCGAGAGGCCTGTATAGAGATTAGAAGGCTTTGAACGAAATCGTAGCTACGGCGTGGATAACGAATGAGAAGAGCAAACTGCAATACATAATTCGAATCGCGTCTGCAGAACGAAAGAGATAAGTTCAATAAAGAGACATACATCTATTTCGTTCGTGTATCTATGTACATATACATACATACATACATACATATATATATATATATATATGTATATATATATAAATGCGAACTGTTCTCAGCTATATGTCTCTCTACGGGCAGGCGTTCGGGTGAAAGCTTCAACGTTCGAATAAGTAGCACTGGACCTCTCGACTAGCTAGAGCACAAAGAGAGCGGGGAGTGACTAGAAACGAGACATGGTGCGTCGATCCCAAAGAAAAGGATCGTTGCGTTCCCACGTAGAAAGAAAGAGAGAGAGAGAGAAAGAGAGAGAAAGAGTTACGGAACGACGCATTGTCCTGATTGTCAGAGACCAACTACTCGACCGTACGTTTATTTCCATCGTAACTTCTTTTATACTATCACGTGAGATTCTCTCTCTTCTTTTTTTTTTCTTTTTTTTTTCTTTTTTTTTTTTTTTTTTAATCAAACATCCCATTTAATAATATCTCGACTTCATCTCGTTGCTTTCGAACGTTCTTCGTAGAAATTTTCGATCTGATATCGTAATGTTCATAAATATCAAAACGTTTTTATTTTTCGATTGATTAATCGATCGATCATCGACAATTCGAATCGCTAACGAGATATCTCATATTGGGTGTTAAAAAAAAAAAAATAAAAAAAAAAAAAAAAAAAAAAAAAGAAAAGAAGAAAAAAAAGACACATATAAATAGGAAAGAAGATAATATTGATAAATAAGAGCTCTAAGCGTAACTGAAAGAAGGAGTCATAGTATTTCGCTCGGCAAGGACGCTACTTGTAATAATATTGGTGGTTCGTAAATGTCAAGGGATATTATGAACCAATGTCTACAAACTATTACTCGGCAGTTAGTAACGATCGTGGCTCGTTCCTTGTTTTTTCTTTCTTTCTTTTTTTTTTGACTTTCTTAGGCTTCGCGATTGGTGGGGGGAAAGAAAAAAAAAGAAAAAAAAAAAAAGAAAAAAAAAGAAAAGAAAAGAAAAAAAAAAAAAAGAAAAAGCTCGTTCACGCTATCGGACAAAGAACTGTTTACAAGAAATTAATTCGGAGAAAATGTTCGTTATATTGACCACGATAACAACGACTTTCGCCGATTCTTTCGAGAATCGGATCCCCGTATAGAATATGCTGTGGGATTCGATTGCGTGGCGAAGTTAAAAGTTAATCCACGGCATTATCATTGAGATAATCTCGAAGGTTTTTCTTGTCGCAAAGAGAGACCGGTCGATTTGCTTTGTTCGTCATTCTCGAATATTATTTATTCGTCAAACTTTTCTTTCTATTCGAAAGATAACACAAATAGAGAGGGAGGGAGAGAGAGAGAGGAGAGAGAGAGAGAGAGAGAGAGAGAGAGAGAGAGAGAGAGTTCGTCTCGATTATGACCGAACGACAACGTAACGATTATATCGTGGGCGCGTGACCGATACGAGTAACACCTCGAAGCTAAGGTCTTATCTGCTCGTTCGAGGAATTGACGCGATAGACGTCGATGAATTTCCATTAGGAATTGGATAGATATACATAATAGTTACCAGGGCTTTTTAATTTTTACGGTATCAAGAATAATAAACAAGAATAGAAATTTTACTTTTTCAAAATTTTGCGTATACAAAAATCGAGATAGTATACCTTATGTATTACAAAGATAAAAATTATAAGAACGGGAAAAAGAGAGAGAGAGAGAGAGAGAGAGAGACAGAGAGCGCAAGAGATTGAGAATGAGAGAGAGAGAGGGAGAGCGCGAGATTGAGAGAGAGAGAGAGAGAGAGAGAGAGAGAGAGAGAGAGAGAGAGAGAGAGAGAGAGAGAGAGAATGCGAACAAACCACACTATAAGTCCCGTCGATATATCGGAAAAATAGAAATAAGTCGGCGAGCTTCGTCCTCGGTTGTATGAATAATTGAGATAGCGCATGCAGTAGGCGAGTCGTCGTTATGAGGTACCTCCCTGAGAGTTCAAACAACCCGCTTTATATATCGATATAAGTCGAGTTTGAGTATACACAAGTTATTCGATACTTTTCCATCTTCTTCTATCTTTCGATCTTTCTTTCTTTCTTCCTTTCTTTCTTCCTTTGACTATTTCTATGAATCATAGTGATAGTATTACTATACATAGACTACTGTACTCTAAGATTCCTCGTCATTGGAATCCTTTTGGATTTTCCATAAGTATCTATATATAAAGTTTGTCTTTTTCTTTTTCTTTTCTTTCTTCTTTTTTTTTTTTTTTGCCGCTTAAACACGCACTTACACACTTACACACAACACACAAACGCGAAGACGCGATGGAACGAACGAGTGGATAATGGATACGGTGATAACGCGAGAGGTGGAATATAAAAAGTATAGTTGGATGGATACGTGCGATCCTTTTCTTCGTCTATACCCGTTTATATAGTCTTCCCTTCATCGCTTATAAAGATTGTCTTACGGATTTATAGAGTCTTCTTTCAGTACGAGATAGTAACCAACGAGAAGTTTTGAGTGTTACCAACTAACATCCTTCGTATTTTACGGTTTATAACATCTTTCCCGGTAGCGAATGCGAGAAGGTATACACACAAAACTAGCTGTATTCGTCATCGTTCAAGCTTTATAGTCTATCCTTCTCTCTTTTATAACATCACGAGTGGTGCGCTAAATATGTCTAACTTAAGGAACATTGGCGTGCCACGCTTATCGGAATCGTTAAGAGATTACCATCGATTGATCCATTATTCTTTTTCTTTCTTTTTCTTCGATCGAAATCATATCAATTTTTTATGAATTCGAATGTCATATTCTCCGTTCAATGAATCGGGCTCCATAAAATGAATAAATAAATATAATATAATGTAACTAGATTTATTCAACGAAGGATGAGAAAAAGGGAGAGAGAGAGAGAGGAAGAGAGAAAGAGAGAGAGAGAGAGAGAGAGAGTGTGTGTATATATACGACATGATGTACGCGTAAAACCGCGCGAACATTTGAAAGTTCCGACCGAAAGAACCGGGAGAAAAAAAGTTGTGTGTAAAGAAAGAATAAGAAGGAATGGATTATACTATGACTTATCAGAGGTTCGTGTGGCTTGGAAAAGTAGTTTCGAATGAATAAATAAATAAATAAAAAAATAAAAAAAAAACCTCCAAGAAAAACGAGGGGAAAAAAAATAAAAGAAAAAAAGGGGCAAAAAATAAAGAAGAAAAAGAAAAGAGCGTGTTTAAATCAGTCACACATTTTAAACACTTACCGACTAAACGTTGCACCTGAGATGAAGACGAGTAGATCGCATTATTATCCTTGTCAGATTTGTGACGATGCACGTAGATAATAACTACTCCCAGATTGTAGACTTCGTTATAATTATAATCCAATGGTATAGTGGCAGAAGAAGAAGAAGAAGAAACAGTGATATAGAGATCGTAGTATCAGTAATAGTAATAAAGATATAGAGAAAAGAATTTTCTCTCTTCTCTTTTCTTTATTTTCTTAGGTAGAGAGAGAACACTAGACACACCATCAAGCACAAAAACAAGCATTTCTTCGTTTACGAAGAGAACACGACAATCTGTCCGCGAGTAGAAGGATGGTCGTCATCGTTGACTACACTGTTGATGTTGTTGATGATGATGATGATGTTGATGTTGAAGATAATGATGATGTGGACGATGACGACGACAACGAAGAAGAATACGATGACGACGCCGACGACGACGCGCGCGACGATTATCACTTTGTACTATTTCCGTAATAACGTTGGTATTGTCGTTCTTCCTAATATTCCACTGATCGAGTAAAACAACGACGACGGCACAAGAAGCGGAGGAAGAAGTACGGCGACGTCTATTCATCACCTCTCGTCATAAGAGCGGACGCGGAGCGTGTACGTCCTCACTCGCGATTGCTTCTTCGGCTACTGCCGTTGGCTCTTCGCTTCTGCTGCCTGCCTGCCTGCCTGCCGGCAGCCACCACCGTTGCCGCCGTTGCCGCCACCGCCGCCACCACTACCACCTCCACCTCCGCCGCCGCCACCGCCACCGCCACCACCGCCGCCGCCGTCGCCACCGCCGCCGCCGCCGCCACCGCCGCCTCCGTTCGTTTCGTAGCAGTGGCGCTGTAGTCGTCGATCACCCCACTCCCATACTCAAACGGTCTACGTTGCACGCGCGTCCAACTAGAAGAGAGTACAACGAAGACGGAGAAACACCTTTTTCCCCCCTCCGCCCCTCCCTTCGTCCTTGCGCACAAGCTTCCTACGCGATGACAACGACGACGACGCGCTATGATCACAACGACGACGATTACTATACTACTACTATTACTACTACTATGACTATGACTACACAACTACACGAACGTACGCGATGACGACAACGACAACGACTTTATCTAAAAGCCGAAATTCCAAAGAAAACAATGATGTTCCTTATTTCTCGATGTCGAATAGTGAATGCCGATGAAGAAATTCTTTGGAAGAAACTTCAAATAGAAGTGTTTAATCCATCTCTTTCCCTCCTTCTTTTACATACTCCCTCTTCTTCTCCCATCCACCCTCCCACTCTCTCTCTCTCTCTCTCTCTCTCTCTCTCTCTCTCTCTCTCTCTCTCTCTCTCTCTCTCTTTCTCTCTCTCCTTGCTTCCCTCGCTTCGCGAACTTTATTTATATCCAACGGTCGCGGTATTTCTACGCTCAGTCCGTCGCGGACTTACTGGCGACGATGACGACGAGGACCGTCCTATGTCAAAATTGAATCGAGTATATTCCAGCGAAAACGTTATGACAAAAAGTGATCGTTAGGATCATCGATTATGATTAATTATTATGACATAAGAAAACTTGTGTGTATATATCTCTAGTGTAGGTTTAAAGAATCTCTATGATATCAAGTCTATGATATTAGATATAGAGAATATAAAGAAAAGAAGAAAAAAAAGAAAAAGAAAAGATAAAGGAACGAAGAAACGAGATTACTTTAATTATGAAGCGACAGGGGGAGGGGGATGCATTATTGATAATGTCGCGTTGCAAATAGAAAAAAAAAAAATGACGACGTGCCTCGTCGAGAGAGAATGGGAGGGAATTGTCCTCCTTGCCACTCTTCTCCAAAGACTAACTTGGACTGTTCGGACCGGAGTGACTACTACGGCGCTCTCTGTAGCATTGGGGGGCCCCCACTAAACGGTTGAAAGTAATACTCTGTCTCTCTATAGTGAGAGGCTGATAGAAGGGTGGAGGGGGTGGGGTGGGAGGTGGAGGGCTTACCGTATATACTACCCTCTCCTTCCTTCTCTTTCTGCTGTTTCACTCCCACTATCACGTCGAACAGCTTTCCCCTCTTCGTTATCTCTTCGCGCACACGTATACACACTTATATATGCTGTTCGAAAAGCACGTCGATACTGCTGCTAGTGCCAGAGTATACAATCCATTTGTAGTAGTGTCCCAGCGACAGTCCCCACTATTACTCCACTTGGTGTATTGGTGGGGGAGAATGCCCTGAGAGAGAAAAAGGGTGCTTGCTCGCTCTCGCGCTCGCGCTCGTGCGCGCGCACACGTAGGAAGGGGCTACGAGTGCCAATGGAGTAGTAGAGAGAAAGAAGGAGAGAGGAAGAGAAAGAGTAAAAGAGAGGGAGGCTGCGCCGATATACACACAGGGTGTGTGTAAAGTGTGGGAAAGAAGGGAGAAAGACTGCTAGTTGCACACGGTTAAGAAGAGTGAAGAGTCAGGCAGATAGAGAGAGAGAGAGTGAGTGAGTGAGTGAGTGAGTGAGTGAGTGAGAGGGAGGGAAAGGGAGAGAAAGGAGGGGTCGCTCCTCCGAACGAGGGGTTGTACCGGTGGGGAGGTTTGACCTGAGCTAGTTCCCCTCCATTCAATCCACGGCCACAATATATCGGTTATAGCGAGCCACTGTTGCCAGATTGTGAGCCTCCGCGCGAGACTACGCCGGTGGTGGCGTGTGGGTGGAGCCACGCAAGAGAAGGAAGAGTATGTCCGCCACCACTGTTTTCTCCTCGAGCAACGCGTTTCTCCATCTATCTATCTATCCTTCTTTCTCTCTCCCTCTCTCTCCCTCTCTTTCCCTCTCTCTCTCTCTCTCTCTCTCTTTTTCTCGTTTGACTCGCTCACTCTATGGTGTTTTCCTGCCTGCCTTTCGTTGTCGTTTCGCTCCTCTCTTTCTCTCTTTCTTCTACCTTCTTTTCTCTCTCTCTCTCTCTCTCTCTCTCTCTCTCTCTCTCTCGTTCTCTATCTCTATCTCTCTCGCACTCATTTCTCTTCTTCATGGACGTCTTCCGTTTTCGGCCTGCTATGGAGTAGCATAGTGTGCGTTTTGCTACCGGAGGACGACGTTTATGTATGCGTATATATCCCTTCCAAATCGAAGTGCATGTGGCATTTACGGAACTCGTGCACCAACTTAAGTACGCGTGCACTTTCTGCTTCCTACGCCTAAGAACGACGCGTCTCCATATCGCTTTATCTTTATTCCTGAAGCTTCACGATCGATCTATGGGCATCCCTTTTGTCGTAGATACGAATCCCAGGTCAAAGAGCACGCTCGCTCTTTCTCTCTCTCTCTCTCTTTCTCTCTCTCTCTCTCTCTCTCTCTATGGATGGCGTAACACTACTTTTGTCAGATCTTTGAAATTGAATATTTTTCTATGACTTTTTGTAAAATGCGCGCCTTTGAGCGTTTGCGATTAGCGCGCCACTATGGCGATTAGCTCACGTAGGCTACGCGACCTTCGATGTCGTTGAATTATCGAAATTCTTGCGTTTGTCTCTGACGAATGATTGGGATTCGTCGTAAATGTAGAATTCTATAATTGATGATAATTAATGGGAAGAGTTTAATTAATTAATGGATTAATTAATTAATTAATTAATTATCGGTAAATGCTTTTTTTTTTATAATTTTCATTCGTTAAAATGACAATTGGGGGGGGGATTGGGGAAGGGAGATTGCTAGATTGGAAGTGGAAAAGGTGACGTAAATAGAGTATACGTGAAAATAGTTATCACCAATAAAACTTCTTGTGTAGCCTCTTTGAACGTTTATGCCCTATGGTAATCGTCCCCCTCGTATTGAAATCGGCACTTACCCAAGCTTCGTGCGAGCGTTGGCGTATCAATCGAGCGACTCCATTATGTATCACGAGTCTCACCCCTCCCAGCTTGAGAGAATAAATACGGAAGGGTGGAGGGTTCCAATCCCACGCGAAAGGGAAACGCATCGTCCCTCGCTCATTTATTTTTTTCTTTTTTCTTTCCCTCTCTTTCCTTTCCTTTTCTTTTCTTTTCTCTTCTTTTCTTTACTTTTTTCCTTCTTCTTCTTTTTTTCTTTCTTCTTCTTCTTTTTCTTCTTCTTCTTCTTCTTGTATCAAATATCAATAACTGCGAGTATCGAAAACCTAGCAAAGAAAACGATGATATTCACGAAGGCAGTGATACGAAATAAGAAGATACATATATAATCGTATTGACTATTGAACTGAATTCGTAGAATCGAGCGACAATAAGGGTAGCATTTTAGTAATTTGCTTTGGATCGAGAGGGAAAGGGTGTCCTCATCCTTTTGCCATTTCTACGTCCCACGCCTTAAATCCCATGCCTGAGAGCCTTTACCATCTTCATCTCTCTTCAACTCGCCACTGTATTCTTGTATCCTTTTTCCTTTCTCCGGCTTTGTCTCTTTCTTTTTTTCCCCTTCTTTCTCTCCCTTCCACCCATTTAGAAACGAACGCGCAAGATCTTACGAGCGCATCGAGTTGTCCAATGGCGCAGGTATACTGGGCGGAATATTTCCGTCAAAAGAAGAAGAAAAAAAAAAAAAAGGAAAAAAGAAAAGAAAGAAAGACAAAAAAGACAAAAAAAAAATCAACTAGAAAGCCAACTATTTCTATGTACTAAGTATTTATATAGTATTTATCAAATGTTGAAGTTATTTACGTAGTATTTAACAAACGTTCAAGTTACTTATGTACATAGTATTTACCAAATGTTGATGTTACCTAGTATTTGTCATAAATTGAAGTTACATAGTATTTATCAACTTTTGACCGCTTCAATTGGTTCTTTTCTTTTCTTTTTTTCATCAGTTATTTGTAATCTCTTCGTATTTCTTTTCATGAAAAAGTCATTGAAATAGCATACCTACAAGAGATTTGTATTTTAAAGTCCAAACAATCAGTAATGGATTTTTGGGTATAATATTTTTAAACACTGTCATATAAAGTAACTGCATACAAATACCATAAGAAACTTTTTGGGAAAATCCAATATAATTACAAAAATCAGGTAGAAAAAGGACAAGACAGTTATAGTTTGTATAAATGATTTATCGTTTCCAGAAAACATTTGTACTTTTAGAAAAAGTTGCTTATATATATATATATATATGTCTTATTTAATTAAAAAATATTCCTTATGTTCGAGATGCCTTCTTATCGTAAAAGAACCATAAACCAGAAAGAAGAGAATAACTTATGTGTAATATTGCTTATACCTAATATAACTTATATCTAAATATTGTGAAATATAGAATGAAGAAATTTTTAACAAAATTTTCCATGGAAATTGAAAAGAAGTTAAATTGAATGCCAATGGTCAGATCGTTATCGAATAAGAATGAAAAATGGTATGTTTTTTCTACCTGTCTTTATCCTTAAATACGACCTATGAATAGTGTACTGAGACAGACAAAAGTATATTTCCAAAATACCCAATAATTTGCTTGTTACTTAACAAGGGTCTAGGCATGGGAGATTGGGGAGGGGATGAGGGAAAGGTAGAATGGTTAATTTACGATCAGGCAAATTTGTAAGTGTTTATACCTGAAAGATATTTATGTACTGTAGTTGTCGACATTGCCGATATTATTCGTACGTATTAAGAAAACCAAGAGAAATGAAGAATAATTCGAGAATACTTTCTGTACTAAATATGTTCGATGTAATTGACATAGAGTGTGTTCAATGTAATACTTCTAATGCGCTAATCTT